GGAGCAGAGTGAGGTTCTGTGGGATGGTTGGTCTGCTCTCCAAACCATTCTGGGAAACGGAGGGACCTGAAGGCGGGATAGCTTTCAAACAGCGATCCCATCTTCTTTTGTAGCATTTGTTCCGTCCATTCCAGCCATACCTCCCATTCCCCAGCGCAACTCTAATACCTGCCCCTGGCTCATTCCCGACCTCAGGCAAACAAGGGGAGATTGAAGCCACTGAAAATCAGATAGCTCAGGCTATAACCAGCCTCAACCCTTAACCTAACTTCATGGCAGATGAAATAAGGTGAATGTTGGTAGCTTGATAGAGCAACAGGGCATAGTCCAGTTCATAGAGTTCGGGAGGGATGGTCTCAGGCGTGCCAAAGGCCAACGCCAATCTTCCTGGATTCCATTTCTGTGCTACTACAGCTACCACTATGCCACTGCGCTGCCGGAAAGATGGTAGAATTGGGTGGGCTTCTGCTCCGCTGCTGAGTGGAGGTGATGATAGAGCAGCCTCTTAAATTGCTGCTGGGCCTCCACAGCCCCGTCACCGCTGCTGCTGTTCCGCTGCCGAGTGGAGGTGGTGGTACAGCAGCCTTTCAGAAGAGTTGCTGGGCCTCCACGGCCCCGTTGCCGCTGCAGCTGCTCCACTATTCTGTCCACAGAAGGAGAGTTAAGCAATAAGTCCATCCGCATCAGCTGTACCAACCTATTCTTGCTTTAATACCATCTTCGGAGTGTATGCTTGCTACTGAGATCAGAAAGGTTGGCAACCACTGAAGAGAAGGTTTGCTTAATGGTAGCTCTGCTACATAAAAGCCTATCCCAAGAGATCTGTGGCCTGCTACTCTCTCTGGCTGCCCTTAAAGGGGCTTTTGAAACATACCTGTTTTCTTTGGCTTTTTATTGAAAATATGTTACTGTATTTACTGCTGCCGTGTCTTTGAACTGTATTGTATTTCAATCTGATTTAACAGAAAGAGAGCTTCCTCCAAGGAAACATTGTAAAACCAATTATAGAAATAGGAAGAGAACTATCTGATCTAGGGCATAAAGGGAGAGACAATAAAGTGGGAGAGACAGAGCAACTCTTGGAGGCAATGGAACAATCAAGAAGGAGGATATACTGGAGAGGCTGAGATTATTAGTGTGGGTTTTTTTGTTTTTTTGTTTGTTTTGTTTGTTTGTTTGTTTGTTTTTGTTTTTTGTTTGTTTGTTTTTTGGAGATTTTTTCAGTGGAGTGAAGACAGCCCCTCTCAGCAGATTGGAGGGGGAATCAAGAGTGTTGGAGTAGAGCACAGTGAGACAATGGGAATAAGCAACATGCTTGAAAGGGTTTGAAGGTAGAGAATATTGGGTGATAACTGGAGAGACAAGATGGGGGGAAGGATGCTTTTCTGGGAACAGAAGAGACTATATGATGTTTGAGCATTCAGAAGGAAGCTCAAGTTGGAGGCTTGCTATGTCATGCAGAAGAGAGAGAATGGCAGGAGGGTAACAGCAGTTGGGCCATAGAGAGTACACATGCAGGCAGGGAGAGACAG